GGAAACAGTGAGGGGGCCCCTGGCTTCAGTGCCAGGTTGGGGGGGGAAGAGGAGCTGGGGGGAGAGGCAATGGGGGGAGATGGAGGGGGGGTGGAGGACAGGGGGAAACCAGCAGGATGGGGGGGGCACTTACCTCCTGCTGCTGCTTCCTCCTCTGCCTCCCCCCCCCGCGAGTATCGCGGGTCCCCCCTTGTAATTTCCCTATTACAGAAAGTAAATTTATTGGCCTATAGTTGGAAGGACTGTGTTGTGGTCCCTTCTTATAGATGGGAACGATAATGGCATTGGACCAGGCCGCAGGCATCTGACCCGTTTGATTTATCATTGTAAAAAGGGAGGCCAGGGGGGAGGCCCACCAGTCTGGGTCAGCTTTCAAGATCTCAGGAATAATTCCATCTGGCCCTGGAGCCTTACTTATTTTTAACTGGTCGATTAAAGTTGTAATTTCATCAGGGGCAACAGGAGGCCATTCAGGGAGGTCAGCCAAATGTGAATTTGGGAACTCACCAAGGCAGGGGAATTCCTCTTGAAATATAGAAGAGAAATATTGAAACCAAGTTCCAGGAGTATACATTGAAGGGGTGATCAGCAGCTGAAGCCAATGAAGAGGATCCCAAAATAACTTAAGAGGCTTTTGGTTGCCTTACTTTTATCTTGAGTACCAGTGAACAGACAAGTCACCCCCTTTTAGTTTGCAGCAAGAATAATATGAATTACGGACAAACGACACATGCCAGGTTTTTCCAAGGAAAAAAGATACAGTGACAAACCATTGTGGATTAGCTACATGTAACTGGGAATCATATGCAGCTCAGCCCCTACAATCAAAAGGATGGAACAGATCACAGCAGGGGTCCCAAAATATGGTGCCCACAGCGCCATGATGCCCGCTGACACATTTCCTGGTGCCCACCAAGTGTTTTTTTAAAAGTGGGCAGGGTCAGGCGGGGGATTTTGCCCAGCATGAGTTCTGATTGGTTGCTAGAGATTTGATCTGCTGTGCAGATGTTTAAATATGTTGCTTTGGCAGCAGCTGCTACCACAGTACAAAACAGGGATGCCAGACCCCCCCCCAGTAGAGTGAGGGTCCCTCACTGCCAGGCCCTACTTCTCTGCTGCTAATCAGCTGGCTGGCAGGGGAGGCACATACCACAAAAAAGGGAGGAACACCTGTTTTAGGGATGTGCCTATGTGACTTCAACGTGACGCAGGCATACTGGGGTGACAAACTGGTTTTGGGGGCAAAAACTCTATGGTAGAAGCTAATTCTACCATAGAGTTTTTGCCCAATAACCAGAGTGTTGCCCCGAAGACCCCGACATGTATACATCGCTTCTGGGTCATGGGGGCACGTCACTGAAACATTGGATGAAACTCCCTGCTCCTAGAAAGCCCACTCCCCATCCCTTGCCAGCTGCTAGGAGGAACCTGGCAGCCCTAGAACAAGGATCTTCACTGTGTGACTGAAGGCAAGCCGCAGCAGCAATTTTCCTGCTGGCTTCGCCTTCTGCGGGAGCTCTTGTGGCAGCCATTTTGTGGCAGTGCCCACCATGCTGTGTCAGAATCCCAAAAGTGCCTGCAGGCTCAAAAATTTTGGATCACAATGTCAAGCTGTCTGGATATCTCCAACACATGCCCTTTTCACAGTCTCAGGTTTGTAAGCATCTGGCCCACATAACACTCTAACAGCCTCTGTTAATTTGGCCACTTCTTCCTTACAGCCCACTCCAGGCTTCAGCAATGCAGACAGCTTCAGATGATGCTGGCAAGGCTAAAGAATTTACTGATGCAGTACTGTATGGTCCAAACGTTTAATTTAAACTGGACTGCTCCCCTTGCAAAGCAGCTATATGAAGGCTTAGCATCCCAGTGTAATAGCTAGCACTCAGGTCACAGATCTCTGGCATGGTTACCCAGTTAAAAGAATACTGGGTCTGTGCAAAGCCACACATGAAAGGGTTTTTTGCCTTGCCAGCACCATGCTTAAATCCAGGCTGAACCTGGTTACAAAGATTCAAAGATTTTAGCGGGTTCACTTCCTGTGATTAGTTCCACTGTGTTAAAAGTTCCGGTGAAGACATCAGATTAAAAAAAGACTTATCCTTCCCCACTGAAAAGTTGAGATTGCTTTATTTACTTCTACTGGAAGGAAAACGATTCTAAAAAACAAACATCTGACAACCACAGGCTTTAGATACAACCTGGCTCAAGGGGTTGTCAAAGAGGAAGAGAATGGTACTCCCTTCTGTTCTAAGAAATGGCTGATACCAGGAAAGCCTGTGTGCTTATTAAACAAATAAAGCAGAAGGTATACTTGGAAGCAGTGAAGGCAGCCCAAATGCCAAACTGGCAGTGACCCATAAAACCTAAGCTCCCGAACACTGCTTTTTTCAGAATAATCTACTCAGAAGAAAACCTTCTGGCCTCCCTGATTAAAAAAAACCACTAAAACAACTAGTGGATGCTTTTAATAAATTCATTAACTAAAGTATCATAGCTCACCGTGAGCCCCAGAACCTAACCAAAATGTTTTACATTTAATTTCTGCAAAAAAATAAAAACAACCCAGGAGACTCCTAGAGATTTAGTGTGTCCCACTCCCGCAATAGCCAGGTTTAGAGTTCTCCACTCAAGATTATTTGCCCCAAGACTGAAGCTAAAGGGAAGCAGTTCCCACCCCCTCCCCTAACAATGTGGTGCATCTGAGCACCTTCCAGGTTTCCCCCAGGTTTATCTGATCTTTCCCAACTGGCTTCACTGCAATGCTTTGGAAAAGATGGCAGCAGTGCCAGGACAGCTGCTGCGTGTGCAAAAGTTTCCAGATCTCTCATCAACATCAGTGCCATTCATCCTGCTCCAGTCCCCTGCAGCGGCCATGCCACCACAGGCTTCACCAGGAGCAGCTTTTTTAAAAAATTACATTGACATTTATATTTATTTATTTTTGTATTTATACCCCACCCTCCCCAGGAATGGGCTCAGGGCGGCTTACAAGAGAGCAAAATATGCCCATACATAAAAACAGGATAAAAACAGTAAAAACCAATAAATATTACAAATAAAGTGCTCAAATTTAAACAAGATGGTCATTCATTACAGGTAGGTGGTTTTTCATGGAGGTAGGTAGTGTCCAGTAGATGTTAAACTGTCCAGTCCAGGGGTACCAACCCAGGGCTGTATTGTGGCCAGATCTTCCATGGGGCCGTCTCTTTGTTGCCAACACCATTGGTAGTGGTGGTAGTGGCGGCTCCTACATAAAAGCCTGGTGGAAGAGCTCCGTCTTGCAGGCCCTGCAGAACTCTACTAGGTCCCGCAGGGCCCTGATCTCCTCCAGGAGCTCATTCCACCAGGTAGGAGCTGCCACTGAGAAGGACCTGGCCCTTGTCACAGCAAGCCTTGCCTCCCTGGGGCCTGGAATCACCAGGTGATGTTGTGTCCCAGCCCGAAGTGCTCTTAGGGGTCTATGTGGGGATAGTGATATAATGATACTGCTGTGTCAATTAATGGTTTAAAAAATCCTTGAAAAAGAAAAGAACCAGAGCAGGGAAAGTGTGGGGAGGCCTGCATCTGGGACTCCCGCAGCCACTGTTCTATGTTGGTCCCACAGTTCCTATCAGAGGGCATGGGAAAATAGTTCAAAGTAGAACTCCAGTCCACATTTACAAAAAGCTGATAATCAGGGTTTGTGTAAGGAACAGAGGTTGTTTAGGTTTATAAGTTTGGTGGGAGGCAATCTCCTTGCAGCATCATTATAATCAGCTGTGAGATTTTGTTATGATGGAGAATCATCCTTGTAAACCTCCCTAATCCTTTTACAAGTGGAAGGGTTAATTAGGGAGTTAAATTCTTATCAGCTGGCCGCCTTAAGGCAAGGAAGGGTTCTCTCATTAGGCTTCGCAGGGTGGGGCCGGCTACTCTCTGTGTTGAAATGATCCCAATTCTCTTCAGCCTGATAACGGACTTTTCTTAAGAATTGGCCCCATAGAAGTGAGTTATTGTTTTCATTGGTCTTGTCACCTGGCTTTTTACTGTTTGTTTTGTCGTTGCTTGTTATGATGGGAAGTTTCCTGCTTCACGCACATCCCTTCGATTTCAACTGATTTTATTCAATTAAATCTGGTGATCTTTTTAAATCTTGTGTCCAGAATTTATTTTGCTGAGTGACTGCATTATCTACATAAACGAATCCCCGGGGTCTTTTGGCCCAGACAGTTTGCTTTAAGAGACAAATCTTAACAAAAAACAAGAGCCTAATTTTGATCCCTACCTCATTTCCTTCCTTTCCTTTTTCCACTCTTGCAAGATCAGTTGAGAGTCAGGATCCCTGTGAACCTGAAATTAAAACGATGAAGACATGTATCTATATCAGTTCTTGAATTAAAAAATAGTCCTTAACAGGTTGTTCAGACGTCACCTTGGTTCACAATAGGCACGCACATAGTTTGCTTGTTGTATTTGCATGCATGCTCATTCCCACACAGTGGCCTGCTAACTGAAGGCTCCCCAAGCCAGGAAGTTTTCAAACTCCAATTTGCCATGATGTTCAAATGCAGGTACCTGGGCAGACTGGAACTTGTTCCTTCGCTGCAAAACGGAATTTTAAACTAGGTTTTAAATGGCAGTTTAGAGACCCAGTTTACTGGGATGAAACAGACTCTAGCTTTCTAGATGCCACAGCAAATTAGTTTGATCAAAGGCTTCCCAAGCCAGGAAGCCTTCAATGGCGCTTCACACACAAGGGGAAGCAGCACATGAGCAGAAAACCTAGACCACCATGACGTCAAAATGGGGCCCATGTTGGTTCATGCTACATATGTATCACCAGATATATAAACGCAGGTCATTAACAGAAATCTTACTCCTCAGCACAGGTGATTACCATATGCTTAAAAGTATTTTCTGCTTTTGATTCCACCGCTACAGTCTTATAGGAAATTTCAAACACATTTTTTATTTCAGTGCAAGTCTATTTTATTGTCCATCTTGACAGGCTTGATCCACAGTTTTCCAGTAATGAATTTAGATTACAGTTTGTTAGTTCCGATGCCTTGTCTATTGTCTGCTTTTAATTACACTGAACCCATACGCAAGACCAGCCAATTCAAGCCCTAGTGGAATTTGCGAATCCTTATCCAAAGAGGGAAGGAAGAACACTAACCTGCATGTGTTCCAGTAATCCAGTCAGAGTTTGCAGCCAGGTCATGGTCTGAATATACTGCTGTGTGTTCATGATCTTGATCTCTGTTCGTAACTCTGGAATGATGGCACCGGTTCGCCAACCGTGCTTTAAGGTCAAATCCTATTTTGCCAACAAGGATTGCAACATACAAGAGTTACTGTTAAGGCAAATTATAGTGTTCATTCCTGTTCTTTCACCCTAAAGGCCATTTGGGCAATTTATTTACTTAAGAACATAAGAGAAGCCAATGTTGGATCAGGCCAATGGCTCATCCAGTCCAGCACTCTGTCACACAGTGGCCAAAAATACCAGGTGCCATCAGGAGGTCCAACAGTGGGGCCAGGACACTAGAAGCCCTCCCACTGCCCCCCCTGCACCAATTACTTAGGGTAATTAAAGTTGCTCACGAACACCAGCATGCAAACGATGTGAAAAAAATACACAGAGGACCAGGCCCAAGAGTCAGAGGGTGAACAGAACACCTACTGATGATCAGGATTATACTAGAAAACTGTTTTAAGACTAGAAAGGCATGAGAAATTAGGGATGGATTGTGGCGATCAGGAATGGTAAAAATATCCACAGAACCTGCATCCACTCAGTCTCTTTCTGTACACTCAACAGGAAAAGGGTTCCACACAAACACATTCTCTCTAGGAGTTTGATGCACATGAATTCTGTTAAATAGCAATTTTAAATGGCAACAGCTACCGTTATTCTCAGCACTGCTGAGCTGAACACCCCATTTTATAACCCTGAGCCAGATGCACGATACACAAGCGGGGGGGGGGGGGGAGAAGAGTTATTATAGTTTATTTTACAAATGTTCGTGTTGGGTGCTAACAGACGAGTTCATCTGATGAACAGATAAGACAGATTCAACCTGCTGTTCTCCTGCTTCTTCGAGTGGAAATAAACACAGAGCAAAGCTAGGACACCCACTCTAAATATGGTGGAAGTAACTTTTCAACCACATATTATCTGCCATGAGAATACATGCCTTGGGATGTTAAAAAAATCACATGACTTGCATTGTGCTCTAGAATGAATGCTTTCACTTGGCATAGGTGTTCTTCCACTTGCCTTGTGCAACTGCTCTAGTGCAAGGTGTAAGACGGTCCCTTCCATGGGCAGAAGGGCAACTTCGAATCCAACCCCTCTGCCTCCTGTAACGAACTTTACTGCAATATTAGAAAGCAGAGGTGTTTGTATTTAAATGGAAGATCTATCCAAATAATCACTCATGCCATGGGTGGTTATAGATACCAAGACGTTTTGGCTCCCCCACATCTCTGCATCTTTTATAGTCACTATATGCTAGGTGTAAGAAAACAGTGGACACAGGGTGTCTAAATGGGATCCCAATAGAAGGCTTTACTTATTAGAAAGGAAATTAATCAGAACATGTTCCTTTTTAAAAGATTCAGAATGAAAACCAGAGCGGCCCATTTTAAATTAGTCTAAAATACACTTAATTCTCCAGCACTTTCTCTGTGTGCAGCCAAGTTTGTATTAGCTTCAATATGCCGAACAATTTTGTTAATCCACAGTAATAAGAATTCAACAAGGAAACAAAAGTAAAATTGAGTGCACTGGAAAAGTTCTTAGTGCTTCTATGCAAGGTAGCACTGGACAGATTCTCAGATTTCAGGTGCTTCATCGTTCCAGTGAAATGATGAGTGCTTATCTCCAATTTGAGACCTCTGTTGCACTTCTCCAAACTTGATTTTTGTTGTGGAGTGCATTTATATGGTATCTCAGACCAAACAGAGCTAATCTACCGTATCCCCACCAGTCAGTGGGCACAATCCTGGCAGCTGGTGGTGCTGCCGGAAGGGTCACTCTACTCACTCACAGCCATCTAGACTGCAGAACAGATTTCAAATATCAGAACATGCATGTGGAAGTGAAGTGGGGGTGCATGGGGGGGAGACAACTAATTTTTAGATTTACTTACTTCATTTATACCCTACTTTCCTCCCTGATGGGAACCTAAAATGGCTTACATCGTTCTACTTGCCTCCATTTTATTTTCACAACGACCCTGTGAGGCAGGTTAGGCTGAGAGTGACTGGCCTAAGGTCACTCGGTGAGCTTCCATGGCAAGCGTGGGGATCCAAACCTGGGTTTACCAGATCCTAGTCCAACACAACACTGGCTCAGTCATCATATGCTGCTTTAATTAATCGCAGCATGATTCTTTGCATCAGCATAACATCTCCCTTCAAATTTCTATATACATGTCGAACAAGGGCCTCACACCAATTTCAGTTTGAAGCTTGCACAATAGTGCTACTGCTCTGTTCATCATGCTGAACGGCTGAGCAGTGAAGTGAATCATCCACTTTAAAGAACAAAATCCACTTTAAAGAGTAGAATTTCAACAGCAGCAATACAGAGTGCTGAAAAGGCAGGTACAGCAGTCATTGTGAAGATCAGTTGTTTATGATCTGCGGTGGGGTGTGGGGGTGCACACACTAGCTCTATTCAAACCAAGATCTTCCTTTAGCTTTAGTTGAGCAACTAACAGAACAGAGCCTTGCTAGAGGGACTGATTTGTAGCTTTGCTCAAAAGAATCCAGACCAAAGAGTTCTGTAAACAGCTAACCAGTAACAAGAAGACACGATTCACAGCAGAAGTCCATTACACAGCACAAGATATATGAAGTCCTAAGATGAGGATTACTCTTTTTCCACTTAAATACTTATAACAGCAGTCTGTAAATGCCACCTGAACTGCAGTTCTCCTAATTTTAGGCCACCCACATCTAGCCTTTAAACAATGCTTGGTCAAGAGCTTATCCAAGAGTGCATGTCCTACACAAATTTGAAACTACGTGGCAGGTGGACAAAGAGGCTTATATTTCTTTGAAAAGAGAAGTAATCCTTTCAGTGATTCCCACACACGCACAGATGCTTATGGTAGAAACATGGTGTTCTTTTGTCTTCACTGCTTTTAAAAAGTAATTTCATAATCTATCGTTCATTCCTGTAAACGTCACCAGTTCTCACAACACAGCAGGCACAAATGAGCTACTTACTGCTAAATCGCTGTAAATGTGATCACCAAAATACAAGACTTTGGAACCTCTCCATCCAGTCAGTTTCAAAAATTCATATAAGTTACCCTATGAAACCAGAAAAAACAAAGTTATATGCGTCCTGAACAGAGACAGACACAGCCTATGATCAGATGATCAGAGTGTGAGCCGTCATCATGCTAGCTGCGTATACCCTTGAGGGGAAGAACTGCTTTCCTCTCTCACGAAAACCCAACTAGGGTTTTATAAGTCAGGCGACATACTTCCTGGTCTCTCATGACAGCTCTATGACCAGATGGAATATTTGTTTGCTCTTCAAACTGTTCTGCTTCTCTCTTTTTCAAGAAATAATTCTTCAAGTTTAAATCTCATTATGCTTTGGGGATTTGAGCAGATGGTTATCACTGCTGCTGAAATGCCTAAAATGTTTTCAGCAGCATGGTTTTCGTTTTGGTTTTTAGAGAAGCTTTTGTCTCAAGACTTGAGAATAAGATAGGTAAAAAGCTCTGGAAAAGAAATCCTGAAAGTAACAGGATAGAACCACAGGCTCAAATAAGCACAAACCACTGCACAATCACCAGAGTCTTCTGGTTACAGTGATGGGGGGCGGGCGATTGGGAGAGAGGGGAAATTAACCCCAGGACTAGAGCAATAGCTTGGGATGCTGTGACATATCAACCACTCAAATCAATTCATGAGACCAATTTCTAGGATAAACTGTACATTATTGCATACCTTAACGTAAAGCTTAAAGAACTGCTGTACACAAAGCCAGCCACTAGCCCAGTGGTACTCACTCCAGGGTTCACGGAGAGCCACATTCACAATTACTATGAACCAAAAGACCCACATTTACTTCCAGGCATGAGGCCTGCACCTCAGGGAGGTTTGCAACTTACCTGTTCCTCTGGTGGCCGCTGTTTCCAATTGGGAACCACTTACCAACTACATGCCTTATTGGGCTAGGGCCTGGCCTACCTTCCTGAAACAAGGGGCAGGTGCCAAATTGGGGAATTATGCTCAGAAGAGTCACAGGTGGCTCCTGAGCCATTGAGTGAGCATCAGTACACTAGCCCATGTAGCCCAGTACTCTGAATGACAACTCACCAAGATCTCTGGTCTTACTCCAGCCCCTTAACTGGCTGTGCCGGGGACTGAACCTGGGATTTCTATCCACAAAACACATGCTCTGTCACTGAGTTATGAACCATCCAACCATTCCATTGATCATGTTAAGAAAAGGGTTCCTTTTGGGGAGAAACACATAATAAAATGCATCTCCTATCTAATTTAGCACCAGCAGCAAACATCTCAGGCTACACACGGAGAACTGAGGATGAAAGGGTCTTACCCAAGGTTACCCAGTAAATTCATAGATGTTAAAACTTGAACCCAAGTCTTCCAACACCACATCCAAAATGCTACTACATGGCTGCACCAACTCAAGTATCTTTAGGTGTTTTGCAAGTAAACAGCATGCCCTCTCTAGCTTCAGACTGTCATTACAAAAGGCTTATTTTATAGATTACATGCACACACACACCCCTACCTGTTTGTAAATCTGTCCTTTTTGCAGTTCATTAATTTTATCCCAAAGCAACACACCTCTTTCATTCACTTTACGAAATGGTCTAAAAAAAATAAAAGTTGAACAGCAATCATACAACAGTGAAAATAATGCCAATTAAAGAGTGTATGCATGAAAGCAGTTCTGCAAAATTCCTCCCAAAATCAAAAAGCGCTTGCAAAGTTACAGATTTCTACAATGCCTGAACAACTGGCTTAAGTTTCAGAAGAACAGATGTGGCATGAAGATAAAATAGAGCTTCTTAGGATTAATGAAATGCATCGTCTGTTTTTTGTTTGTTTAAAGATACAGAATATCTAGATAGAACAGACTAGCAGGTATCGTTTTAATTAATTTTGCTGCAATATTTAAAAAAACATTTCCACAGGGAAGATCCAGTTTAATGATTCATCATCATTTTACAATCTCTTTGAAGTCACACAGTGACAGCTATTTAAAGATGTTGAAACAGCAAACTATACATTTGAAACTTAATCTGACAACTGGTCAATCCTTAATTCAGATGCTCTCAGACTGATCAGACAGAGCTTTAAGAATGAATGGAGATGGACTAGTGATTTCCTGCTTCCACCCTACTCCAGGGTGAAACAATATTCTTTTAACATGAAGAATGTTTTTGGAAAGAATTATGTCCAAGAACGGTTAAGCAGACATAAATTATTAGTGGGGGGGGGGTTTACAGCTGTTTTAAAGTGTTGCTTTTTTTGCTCAATATGGAAGGATTCTCCCCACACCCATTTTAATTTGTGTGTGTGGGGGGGGTGTATAAATAACCTGGATCTAGATGACACACTGCAATATGCTTTATCAGTTCTATTTTTAAAAATTTCGAAACAAAAAATGCCATAAATAAAAAAATACAAGATTAGCATGCACAACTGCATTTGATGGTATATATTGCCCTGTCCCTTCCATGCCTTGATGTAGTTTTGTGCCCAGTCTACTGAACTGACAAGTAGCAGTGGCATGCTGGAGAGAGAGGCCTGACCCTGCACCATAGACAGGCACACAGGCCCTTCTAGGGGGTGGGGGGTGGGTGAATGCCATAATCTACCAACATCATAGCTGAAGGTACTCACCTCCTTTTATCATTGAAAAAGTTGGGCTTGTCAGCTTGGACAATGACTACATCAAAGAGATCCCGCCAGTCTTTCCCGACTATGAACTTCATACCTCTGTCCCTGCAAAGATCAGCCCAAATATCAGAAGTACAAATGTGACTAGACTGCCTTTTTAAAAAAGTGACATTTGACAGTCATCATTGAGATTAAGCTTTTTTGGTTAAAGCCATGTACGAAGCCAACCACCTACACAAAGCTGCTAGGACTGTTCGTGATGAGGAACATCTTCTTGCCATGATCTGCCAGCTTCGCAAGCACAGCACGCGTCTGCTCAGCATAACAAATGTATTTCTCTAGAGGGAAGGAAGGTTGGGGGGAAAAACAAGTTACACAAACTAAAGCTGAAGACCTTCTTTTGCTATATTCATTAGCACATTAAGGATTGCTTGTCATTTCCAGTCACGATTGTAGCATCTGAATTACAATAGCATCAGTAAAATTTAAACAGACTTGGTGATTTACCACAGAAAAGATTCATATGGAAGGGAACAATTAGCAGGGGTCATTTCCTGCAGGAGCGCACAGGAGCGGAGCTCCGGCAGTAAGGAGCCCAGGGGGTGGGCACATGCAACAAGCCCCGCAACCTGCTCCCAGCAGCCCTCCCCCCCCGGTCCCCGGCCCAAAACAGTCCAGTGGCACCTTTAAGACCAAGTTTTATTCAGGTACGAGCTCTCCCTCCTCTGCGAGGACAGATCTGCACGTCCCCCCCCCAATAGCTAGCAATCCAAAACAGTCCAGTGGAGCCTGAGTGATGGGTGTTGCTTTCTGACTCACTTCCGGTGATGTCAGGGGGTGTGGCATATGCAAATAGGTTATGCTAATAAGTTATGCTAATGAGCTCCTGCACCTCTTTTTCTACAAAATGACCCCTGACAATTAGCATCCATAGGCTTAACACACCTACAAATATTACTGAAGACCACATCAGATAAGATTTCTCTTGTATGCAGTGTTGCACTCCTATGGCTGCACTCCACAAGCCTGTTATAATACTGAGGGGTTTCTTAAGTACAGCACCTTGCAAATCAAACGTACATGGCCCCAATATCAGTTCTGCTGGCACAGAAATGTTGCCTGCATTTTGGCCAGCACATTGACAATAAAGCATTTTATGTTAATTGGGGTAACTGCGAGCAGAAAGGCTCATATTTATGGAGTCCCTGATATGGTTGTTCCTAAAATCAGATGTTAATTCTTAGAAACTAGACCTTGGCCTCTAATGGAAGTCAATTACACTTACATGGACGCCTGGACCACAATATATCTAGTGTATTTTTATCTTGCCTTTCCTTCCATGGAGTCCAGGGTGGTATATATACAATGCCCTTCCCCATTTTATCATCACAACAATCCTGTGACTTAGGCTGGTCCGGTCACTTTCTCTCAGCTTAAGGTCACCCGACAAGTTCTTATGGCTGAAAGGGGATTTGAATCCAGACCTTCACAGTTCAATACTGTAATCATGACATGACACTGGTTCTCAACTTGCCTTGCAGAGGTATATGGGCTGCAGTTAGTCATGGCTGAGGAAAGAGCTCTGCATTCAAGTGCTTAGGAATAGTTCTAAAGCTTTGAAATGGTGTCAGAAACCAGCTTTCCGGCAAGGCCAGTGCTCTAAATAAAGCCTGGAGAACATTAGGAGGAGTTGTATAAGGAAACAAAAAGTTTATATCTACAACAGACTGGAAACCTGGATTCCAGAGACAGCATGACTTTCTGAAGCATTTTTAACTGCATACTATTTCTTTTTTGTCTAAACATTTGAAAGAATACCTTATGTGCTAAGACATTAGAACTCTAAAGCACCAAGAACAGTTATATTGCTAATATTTGGTGTACAAGATGAATTGCAGGACAATTCAGCACACTTGTGGTTTGTCATACATTTGTTATTAAAAGAAGGGTAATGTCTCCTGATTCTTGCCTACACTAGCATGAGGGAATTAAAGGTCCCTCATGAGCTAGCAGCATGTAGTGATTACTTGGACTCTGGAGATCCAAATTTAAATCCCCACTCAAGTACTGAAATTCACTGGGTGATCTTGAGCCAGTCATACTCTCCCTCTTCATAATAGAAACTATCACATCAGGCAAAGAATCTAATGTTAAATCAACACTGGATAGATTTCAGTTTTGGAGAGAACAGCTGTGATCTACAAATCACTTACAACAGCATACTGTTTATAACAGTCAAGGCAAATAGAGGATAGCATCAGATGTTCAAGTAGTACCAAAAAGATTATTTATTTATTTATCAAATTCATACCCCGCCCTCCCGGTCAAGGCCGGCTCAGGGCGGGGTATAAATGCAAGCAACTTTTGCATCCTCATTCAACGCTTCCAGTACAGCACCCCAAAATGATAACCTACACATTATTCATTCATCTATTAAAACATATCCCGCCTTTCCTTGTAGTTCAAGGTGGCTTAAAATAATAGTTTAAACGTTTCCAGTTAAAACCAAAAATAAAATAGCAAACTCCAAATTCTTGAGGGGAAGATGCACAAGTTAGAGGCACTTCCAATAGATGTGCATCTGCCTCATGGAAAGATGCAGAACTCCCCACTGTGTGACTTCTTCAGAAGTGTGAACTTACAAGTCTTCTTCAGGACCTTCTGCCTTTAAAAGGCACATGCTAGTCAAAGATGACCACTTCCTGCCACACTGAACATGCTTCCCCCACAAAATCCTGTGGTGATCCTGTTCCATAAAAAGGTCTCCTTCATTACCTCCTACTGGAAAGAAACTGGAGCCCTTTAAAAGTGATGTGTATTTGGAGAGGGTGTTTGTATGTAGACACAGATTGGCAACCACATTGCAAAGAGTGCTTGTGAAAGCCCAAGATACCACCTACTATAATAATGATTCTAAAACCTTAAGCATGAGAGGAAAACAAAGCCCCTCTCCACAAAAACCCCATTTGTGCTTACCAATATCTGCTTCAATTGCTCGGTACATTATTCCTTTGATGTGGACATCTCTGATTGAGTCCTGGCATGGAGATGAATGCAAAACAACAGTGAGGTCTTTGGCTTGTTTTATATAAATATTCTGGCTAGCTGCCAAGTGGTCTAGAAAATAGGCAGAGAACACTACAAAATATGGCAATGGCACTGGTGGGAAAGGATGCTTCCAGATTTTAGAGAAAGGAACAGCAGGAGAGACAGGCAACCAAGAAGATTAAATTCCATCATGTGGTTTTCTCTGCAAGTGTTTATAAACCACAGCTTTTTGCTGCTGGACTCCACATGCTTTATTTATTTAAAATATAAATAGCTGCCTTTCTTCCATACAGAGGCCAAGACAACTTACAACATAGGTAAAATACATTAAATATATTTGAAAAAAAATTATAAAAAAACAAAATTTAAAATCACAGTTCTGGACTGCTTAGTAAACTTAACCAAAGGCGTTACAGTCTTCAGAGCAAGATGACACCCAGTCAAAGTCAATGGTTGTATGTTTGGAAGCAAATTTTCTCAGACTTGATTTAAACACAATGCTGGCAAGGTAAAAACACTTTTCTGTGGGACGTCACAATTGCACCGCATCTTGTTAAAACTGGTCTGTTACTTGTGCAAAAGCACAAGCCTGATTTTGCCAGACATTTCCCACACACTCTCTCATGTTGCCAGTAACCCAGATTTTTCTAACAAGGAAAATACATGACCTATTTTTGCCTCCCAATAATTAGTCCTCTCAGAATTTATAGAACATCTACAAATAGGGTAAGGTATTAATGTTTAGCATATTACATATATTTACCATATGTTTAGCATATTACATACATTACATAGCATATTACATATACATATTAGGTTTATATATACACAGAGGCACATACCTCCCCATTAGTTTTTCAACAGATTTAGAATTGCAGGAACAGGATGGTTAGCAAACAGCTAAGTCAGCACACTGAAAGATGTAGCTGACAATGAGAGAAAATAGCTTCATATTCAATGAGAGAAGGTCAAATGGATCAGTACCTTCACATCTTTGTAGAGATGAACAGGCTCATAGTCTATGTTGCTTTTCAGGAAATACTCATTTACGCAAGACAGGAGGGTCATCTCAGGTAAGGAGAAGATATCCATGAACTGCTTCATGGTGTTACCTTGCGAACTCTGCAAACAACCACACGGGACTCAAACATGTGCCATAAAAATCAAGAAGGTTTAACAAAACTTAGCTATTTACTACTTGTATTAGAGGTCTGTAGACAAGAGGAGACAGACAAAACATGGACTTGAGGCTTCATAAGTGATGCAAGAATGACTTATGTTGAGGAGTGACTCACATCTTAATGATCCTTGTATCTAATCAGCATGAGTAGCTCCCGTATGGATCAAAAACTCTGCACAATGGAGACCACCAGGGCTAGGATACAGGTTTCCCCAAAGCCAGGACAGAGTAGCCAGAAAATAGCAATGAGCCCTAACATGGGCCCCATGTATGGTTACCAACCTCCAGGTGTGGCCTGGAGTTCTCACAGAATTACAACTGATCACCATACTAGGAAGATCAGTTCTGCTGGAGGAAACAACAGCTCTGGAGGAGGGGCTCAGTGGCATCACAACCCTGCTGAGCTCCTTCCCCAAATCCCACTCTCCCCAGGCTCCATCCCCAAATCTCCACACATTTCTCGGCTCAGAGTTGGCAACCCTGTGCCCGTGAACATCCTGGTACCCACTGATGTGTTTCCTGGCACCCACTTGCATATTCCCAAAAGCAGAGGGCTAATCTTTGCTTTCCTTGACCTCACTGGAGCAGGGTCTGCAGAGCTTTGGCCCTGCAGGGAGTGCCCATTTAGAAATAGCTAACCTCATTACAGGAGGATGCTGGCTTAGAACCTCCCCCCCACAGCAGGCTTTTATGATTCCTCAGACTTCCAGGAACTCTCACGAGTTCAACATAGACTAAGTCCCCTATACACAGCGGCACAGACAGGTAAGTACACAAAACCTATTTATGTTGTCCTATGGAAACTTCATTTCATCCAAGCATAAAAGCTTGTCCTTTTACCTTTCCATAGAAGTCACTCATTTGTTCCAAGGGGACATGGGATCCATCGTACATGGCAATGACTTCTTCATCTGGGACGACACTCAGTCCTCTGGCAACACCAATAACAGCTTTAGTGCCAAAGCCAAGCAGAACATTTTAGGTAGCTCTCCCATGGCAATATGGAGATTCTACACAAGAGCCCTTCCGGTTTTCTCTTTTTATATAAAGCAATGGGCCAGCTTTAACTATTCAGAATATGTCTGTCATTAGCTGACATCAGGGATTGCGCAAGGAACACTATGTCCTGCCAACCAAGAACAGATTGCACCTCTTAAGTTTGCATTTCTTCCATGAAAATTAATTATCCTTTATTATTTGAGGTACTCAGCTGTAAGAATGTCAGGCTTCCCGACACAAAGCAATCCCCCCCCTTTGTTTTATCATCATTTTGTAAATGAAGAGATGAGATAGCATTCAAAACCAGATTCCTTCTCCACCTCAATAGAGTTCAGCCTGACTTACAAGTACAGGAAAAATTCTAAAGTACAATGAAAGTCATGATTAGAGCTGCCACTCTGCAATTAGCAGGGGGGGGAGCTAACAAGCATCTGCTTAGCAAGATTTAATTCCTGCTTCCTCGCAGTTGTAAGGAAGTTGTCAGCTTGGCTCTTCTTAGGCTGACTGGTTGCACAAAGACATCAGGAGGGAAGCTGGAGAACACCCCCCCCCCAGATATTTCAAAAGCATTTGGAAATATTTCATTAACAGCTGGGGTTTGTGTATCTGTTGCTGTTATTCCACATAACTGCAATATTTCTTTTTTTGCAGTATTTTACTATTTGTAATGGATCTGTCCAATCAGCCCCACCTCAATGGCAAGCAGACGATAACGGGAGGCTGGCCTTCATAAGGACGCTTGCTTCCATCCTACTGCTTGGCTCCAAAGCCCAAAGCAGAGGGAAATTTGGGCTGATTCCCCCATCCCACTTTGCTGTCCGTTTTATTTATTTATTTGCCTCTCCAGAAAGATGCCTAAAGCAGCTTACAAAATGAAAATAATAAAACAAAACATTAAAATATAATTAATTAAAACGCCAGCAATTTGGGGGGGAACAGCAGGGGGGATCAGCAGAAATCATCTTGCCTTCCTCCTTTTGGAATTAAGTGGTAGGATACAAGAAGAAGAAGCCATTACAATCTGCAGCAAGATGTACCCATATTTACATATATATATATTAAAAAACCTTCCTCTAAGGAGCTCATGATTTCCGCCACCACACACTGGGTGATTTCCCACAAGCGCTTCTCCGCGCTCATTCCTCTCTTTTGCCCCGATGGTATGTGTCAATTTCACACAAGTGTCTGCGCGGCCCCATTTTGCCCCGCAGCTTTGTGCGATTTTCCCCGCGTCTACTCAATCCTCAAAAAACAGGATTGAGTAGACGCGGGGAAAATCGCACAAAGCTGCGGGGCAAAATGCGGTTGCGCAGCAGCTTGTGTGAAATTGACACGTACCATCAGACCAAAGAGAAGAGTGAGTGCGGAGTAGCGCTTGTGGGAAATCACCCATTGTTTTCACAACAATGCTGTCAGAATAGTGAGGGGGAAGAGACTGGCCGTGCATGACTGGCCCAACTGGTGTCACCCAGAGAGCTTCATGGCTACATGAGGAATTAAATTCTGGTCTCTCGTGTCTTAGTCCGACAGTACTATGGCATTACGTTGGCTCTATTAAAGATCTGTTTTACTTTTTTCCTATACAAACCATCTTGCCAGAATGGATGAGTCATCCCCAAGAATCTATTTAATGCACAACTTCAGTGACAAGAAGACTTAACAGACTGAAGGCCAGACTACATGTTACAGGGGGCTTGTTTGTTTTTACACAGGAGCTGCAAAGAACAGCCTTTCAAAGGTCCACCAGGGCACAGTATGGTCTGGTACCACAGCATGGGGGAGGAGTAGATGCTCTTGTCTTTCCACCCTTGCTGTTTTCCTAAGCTGAAATAGCCCTAGGGTAAGAGGAGTTATTTGCCCCATTTTGGAGCTGCACATAACGTGCACAGAAAAGAAAAGACATAATGGGTGGTTTGACTCTGAAGGTCTTGGGTACTGAACATTTTAAGCGACGAGAAGGCCTGAAGGATAGATTGCAACTTATTTAATAAAAAGCTGCGTACCGGGAAGCATAGAGTTCTAAAAACAGATAGCCAAAAGCCTCAGTGACTCATCTTTTCTGGAAGTTAAACATAATTTAACAAATTATGTCTTTTGGATATAGCAAAATCCTTGCTTAAATTTAAAAACAGTAAAAACCTATCAAGTCTATTTCCTACTGACATTCAAAAATTAACACAAAAAAGGGACACTGATGCAGATCAACAACTAAACAGTGAAGTATTTTTAGCAGTCTTCCTGTACAATTTAACAGCTGGAAGCAAGGATATTAGTCAGCACCACTTGGCCAGCCAGCTCTCCTCAGACCGCAACCTGAAGAACAGATTTGATAGGTTCAGTCAATAAAAGCATCTAACTGCACTTAGATGTTCTCTCCAGCAGAGGACTGTGCAGCACGAGAGCCCATCTGATGGGATTACACTGCTACCACAGTGACCCTCAAGTATTCCATGCCCCCACCCACAACGAAGAGTGGGCATAAATGCAGTAACAGTTTGACTCACCTGTACACAGTTCCCAGCTGAATATAATGAAAAGCATCAATCTTCATCAATAATGCCTTAAAAGAAGAAGAACAATAACACATTTCAGGTGATATTTTAAGGCCTCAAAGAGATTTGGAACAACTACGTCAATTATTATATGATTTAGAGCAGGGTATCTGCAATAAACTCTACTCTCATTAGAACTGGAACACATCTTCCAAGGTGGGAAAACCACAGAATGCAGCCCAGTACATACCACACAGCCAGCAGCAATCCTAACTCATTAGGGTTTTCAAAGATGACAGGACTACTAAATTCCATTTCATCTTAGGAATCAATTAAAGACAGCTGCTCTAGGAAGCCATGCCTCTCAGTCTGCAAGACCTGAGCAAGGCCAAGCAACAGGATGTTTTGGAGGCCATAAATTCATAGGGTCACCATAAACTGGAACCAACCTGATGGTACCTCCCTCCCTCCCTCCCTCCCTCTCTCTCTCTCTCACACACACACACACACACACACACAAAAGTATTTCAACCTTTAATGATTAAACAGAACAAAAAAGAATTATGAAGTAGCTGTCACTTCAATCAGGATAAACAGCTTATTTTGACTACTTTTCTATAAAGTGAAGGTAGCCTCTTTGACCAAGGCCGATTTGGCATTTAAACACCGTGCAAAGAGCTAGGCTTTATGACCGGCAGATGTATGCAATGTAAACACTGCTGAACTTACCACTTTAGACTGCAAGAACTACAGACAAACACGCGCTCATACAAAACACAACATGATCAAACAGAACCTGTACATTCAGAAAAAAAGCCCTTCTTCAGATATGCGTTCCACAAAATTTCTGACATGGGGCACCATTCAAATATTTGATCCCCGTACAGCACATTATGCAAGTTCGTTGGTCAAACAACTTACTCCAGAAGGCCAGGACAGCTAACAGCTGTGGTTTGGCACCCAGCATGAATGACACTTATTTAAATTTAACAATTTAATAAATAAACTATATATGCCATATACACAGGAACACAGTCCTGCATCTTTTTCAAGCTTCTCACAAATAATGGGCAAAGAAATAAAGCTCTGTCTCCTGACAACACAGAATAAAGCATTAGAGAAGGCCAGTGATGATATATTACATCTATGGTTCTCAAACTGGGGGTTGTGATGCTTTCACAAGAGAATTGTGAGACCAGGGTGCCCTGACCTGGATCGCCCAGGCTAGCCCAATCTCGTCAGATCTCAGAACCCACGCAGGGTTGGCCCTGGTTAGTATTTGGATGGGCAACCTCCAAGGAATACCAGGGGCATGACACAGAGGCAGGCAATGGCAAACCACCTCTGAAATGCCTCTTGCCTTTAAAACAAGTCTAGCTCACCACCTAGAGGTGCATAATGCTAAAAGAGCTACAACTTCTGGCTGCCAGACAATCTTATGATATCCTGGCTATACTACACACACTGCCATATGATAATTATTATTATGTATTAATTATTTGTGAGGCCAGGAGGAAGGGGGACTGGGTCAGCTGGAAGAGGTAGCTCTATAGCAAATTTGGGCTTGGCTGTGGTGGAAAGTGCCATCAAGTCACTGCAAATTTATGGCGACCCCATAGGGTTTTCAAGGCAAGAGATGAACAGAGGTGGTTTCCCATTACCTGCCTCTATGTGGTGACTCTGGACTTCCCTGGTGGTCTCCCATCCAAGTATTAACCACACCCAATCCTGCTTAGCTTCTGAGATATGACAAGATCAGCCTAGCCTAGGGCATCCATGTCAGGGCTTGCCCCTCTATAACATGCAAAATGACCATGAAATACTGAGCCTGTTGCTCAGAAAATTGATACATACCAAATATTAAGAATTAAATAAACTTGTTCAGTTTTAACTCATGCAAGACACCTGGATTTTATGTTGGGGTGGAGGAGTGTAGGGTAGAGATACTGTGCATGTAGGTCCTGAAAAAGAACTAAGTTTAGAAGGCCTCAAGTTTAAACACCACTGTATTACACACAGCAGAAGTTCCTAATGGAATCATTTATACTTACTCGGTGTACATCATAATGAAGCCCTCTTATTGCAAAGTTGGGATCGTAATCGTATTTCCGTATTTCTGCAGGATACTGGCAGGATGAGAATTAAGAAGTCAGCTTAAAAATTGCAGAATATCAAGTACTCTTATCCCAGATAACTACAACAGGTCTCTAGTCATCAAAATGTGATATTTTGTCCACTTTGCCACTGTACAAATACCATTTTTTCCCCTAAAAATATAAGGCCCAGAATTAATGTCACTTTTTGTAAAAGTTTGAAACAATTCATGGTATGACAGAGCTCACATCTACCTGAAGATCAGCCTGCAATATTCCACTGAAACTGGACATTAAGGATGCCAATAAACATCTGACTCTCTTGTTTTATGCTCTTAACCAGGAAACTGCATCCTGATTTGCTAAGCATATTATTGTGGTGGTTGAGCAAACAGAACACAAGAGGGAGGGAGATAAATGTTCTGCTGTTCCCTGTGGTTTTGCACAACAAAGTACATGGTACAAAATCGTGATTCTCTCAGATATTTTCCTTAAATGTTCTAACCCTTACAGTAGTAAAAATATATATTGGTGGCCTAGAGTTCCTGACTTCTCCCTTTCCCTTTAATGGGAAAAGGGTACAGGCACACAGCTGGCACTTCCAATGAAGACTCCAAAGGAGCCCTGGTATGCACAGAGGTAGGGGCTACAATACTCAGAGGTTAAGATGCTGAGCTGCAGACTGGAAGGTTGGTAGCTCAGCAGTTCAAGACCCGAGTGGCACGTGACAGAGTGAGCTCCCATGTCTGGCCCCAGCTCCTGCCAACCTAGCAGTTCGAAAGCAAGAAATTGCAAGTAGATAAACAGGTACTGCTTCCATGGGAAGGAAACAGTGTTCCGTGCACCTTGGCGTTTAGTCATGCCAGCCACATGACCACGGAAAAGTCTTCGGACAGCGCTGGCTCTTCAGCTTGGAAACTGAGATGAGCACTGCCCCCTAGAGTCAGATTCGACTGACTTTTGAGCAAGGAAAACCTTTACCTTTATATGAGGTATGTAAAAACCTGGGCAGTAGGAAGCAGCCCACTGATCATGGTAAGTGCCTTTATGGTTCACTGAATGGGGCAGAACTTGATCTTCCGCCTGCCTACCAGCCCCTTCGTGGGCTTCTAGTGGTGTCCCCGTACTGTTCCAGGCTCACTTCTATGAACAAGGAGAAGGGGGGAGAGGAAGATGGAAGATGGCTTACCCAAAATATCTCCAGTTTTATCTGGGCCATCCAGCAGGGCTTCAGTGGCCGGGTTATAGCTTCCAATTGAAAGCACTGACTAGTACAGCGGTTTGTAAAGCCAGTGTTTTTTTAAAAAAATGACTCCCTACTATGGATCATTGTGTTACTGTGATCAGCTCTCATGGACCACAGGGTCACCCCCTTCTTCTACCAGATGTTGAGCTGGCAGGAAACTGACAAATAGCTGAGATGCAACATCTGTATGCTGCAGCCTCCCCTCCCCCCAATTATGCTGCAGTGCATCTAACTCACTGAAACAGTTTGTGTAGCAACTGCAAACTCAAAACGGGACAGGCCTGTTTTGCCACAAAACACAGGGATTTGTTCATAACAGGAGCTTAAGTACTCTGCAAGCAAAATAAATACACTAAAAAAAATCACCACCTCCGCATATTTTAAATAATATTGCAAAGCATGTCCTTTTTATAAAACGGATCAAATCACTCTCAACCTCACTCCTTGTATTGATGGAAGAAAAGCAGCTGTGAAATTTTTCCTTTCATAGAACAAGGAAGAAGAGCAAATTCACAACCCCCCTCCTGACAGTAGCGCCCCCCCCCCAAACACCTCATGCCAGTTTGTCCATAACTTTGTCCCTCAATCATCAGCCCTGGATTTCAGTCTGCTCCAGGAAGAGGAAAGAACCATCACTACAGATGCCTTTCACTCACCGTTCATAGGAACTAACCCTAAACATTCTCATGTTTTGATACTTCTTCTGTATGATCATAGTATGTACCCTAAATGTAGAGCAAAGGATATCAACATAACACTAGGGGTCTTTCATTCACTACTGGCAATAAACATTAGCAACAAGATTTTGGAGCACTCTAGCAGCCCCGATTATGTGCAATGATCTAATTTCCTATTTACTCCAGAGATATTTATAGGCACACATATGTATATATATAGCCATTGACCTTTGGACTGCTGGATGTTTCTAACACAGCACTGAATTTTACACTCCGAACACAATCCAGGTAGTAGAAAGAAAAAGTTCATATGAAGCAGCATAGAAGAGCAAGAATATGCCTTTGAGACATAAAGGGCCCTTTGAGACCGTAGCATTAGAGCAGATGCAATACAGGAAAGCAACTTGTATGGCAGTCCATTCAGCTAGCAAATCTTATAGCCTGGAAACAGATTGACAGTCTAAGTAAGATTTTCTACTATGAACTAGCTGCATTTTGCATACAACCATAGCAATTACATTCGTGGACAAGCCACAGAGTGGGGGCAAAGGTTGAGGTTTTTTAGAATGTCAAACTATAGGGCATTTCCTCAAAAAGGAAATCTGAATTTAATACTAACATGAAAACCTGTGCTTTGGAAGAAGCTATGTATTACATGTAGTTCCAACAATATTTTAAGTCATTTTTTCCCTTTCTACTGATTTCCCTTTCTACTGATTTCAGAGCAAGGGGGTTTAACCCCTTCATCCTTTGTTTTGTTGTAGGAATACAACATAAGGAGTAGGCTGAAAAGCCCTTCTCCTTCACCTGCAACAGCTGCTTACTGGGCTTTGATGGTACTTGGGTTTTAACTATCCTGCTTGTGGAGGTTCTGGCTGTTTTTAGATTGCCTTGGGTTTATTGTAAACCACTATGAGCAACTTGGAAAGTGCCTCAGTGGGGAGAGTGGGGTATAAATCCAATAAATAAATAAATTTAAAAAAACACAAGAGAAAGTAATCATGGAACTATAGGCAGCACAGTTCTGGCCTTAATCTCACATCTATCAAAGATGAGATTAATGATGTATCTGAGGAAGAGTGCGTGCACACAAAAGCTGATACTTTGAATAAAACTTTGTTGGTCTTAAAGTTGCCATTTAACGCAAACTTTCTTCTGTTGCTTCAGACCAATATGGCTGCCCACCTGGATCTATCAAGGCTGATTATGTAGAGGACTGCTTCTATGTTAAAAAAACATAGACGATTGACTTCAGAGGGTAAGTATTGATAAGTGGTTCAACATATGCTATATTTATTATTGTGGCATTCCCACTGGACCTGGGACTAAGAAGACATCACTGGTACAAAATGCCGTTCTGTATCCCACTAGGATCATTCCCAAAAGCTCATACGGGGGACTCTGCACTCCAACTTTATGTAGTTAAACAACTTCACAGCAATATACTCAATGCTCAGCTTATGCCTCTACCAAACCACATGAATATTTACTTCCTGTTTTGTGAAGAAACACTGTTTTGTCTGGTATCTACCAACCCTCCAGTCTGTAGCATCCTGACAAAGCTACTATTCATAAACTTCATATACAGCATAGGGGATGATGTAGTCCACTATATATGAGTTACTGTCAGTTAAAAGTTGAGACATATATGCACACTCCAAGGGTTTTAATAGTCATGGTCAGGTATGTATGTTATTAGGTTTATCTTATTTAATTGTAATTCATTGAGTCCTTAATTAATAGAAATTAATTTCTCATTGAAGTAGCTTTGTCATATACTACTTTTGTAAAAAAATGTTATTGAATCTGCACTTCCTGGATGTGTGTGCTTAAAAGTTAAAGAAAACTTTTCATACAGCCTAATTCTTTTGTCACACAGAATATCTGGAATGTAATTTAAAAAATCAAATAAAATCTTTATGTAGTTAAACTGTTTATTTTTCACATATAAATTAAATAATTATATTCTTTATTGATTTTCAGGCCTTATGATCAACCTGTCTTAGCTTTAACACATGTTTATATGTCAGTGTGCATGTATACAATAATCTGACCATTGAGGAAGGCGTTGGAGGCTGAAACACTTTTGGTCTTGTTTTATTGGTTCAAGGCTCACTCTTAACCTAGAGATACTGAATTGTATCATGTTATATAGATTCAGGACTTCTTTGTTCAAATATTTGCTACTTCAAGGGCGGAATGTGCCTACATTTTCAAAGTATAGTTTTAGTGCACCTTGCAATACATGTATTTTTAAAACTTATTTCTCATAAAATAAACAAAAATAAACCAGTTCTAAATACCTTCTATACACATAAAATAATCAAGATATAGGCCTTACCCGATGTTCATTGATCAGCAGATCCCGAGCAGCATTAAAGATCAGTGTGTGTAAATGCTTGGAATAGAAGACCAGCGTGTAGTCATAATCAAAACCGTAGATTTCTATGTCTGAGAGACTCATTTCATTGTTGGAAAAGATTGCATCCGGATTCAGCAAGTTACTCATTATTGAAGGAACTAGCTCTGTGGAAGAAATGAAGAAAAAAAATCAAGCTCTACAGGAAGAATGCGAGGTATCTATATAATAATTCTAAAATAGGTGTTGGATCCCCAGGCATTTGAAATAACTCCACGTTTGGATCAAAGTAAGGTTTATTTCAAAGCGATGGTTCAAACAGGAACAAGGACATTGTTAGGAATAACTGCTAATACACATGAGCAACATAATAAAGAGATTTGAACCAGGTGAGGGCCAATGAGCCCAGTTCCTGCTGGCGGGAATAGAACTTAGAAACGCGCGCCCATTTCATGGGAACATAACAGTTCTACACAATCAACACAGGTTCAGTTCACAGGCTAGATACCCATAACAAGCCGAGCGAAGCACCAACTCCCACCACCAGCTGCATGACCTTGGCCAGTTCCGCAAAGTACAGAGTAAGCATAAGGAAGCAAAAGAACCAGGGGGGGGGGAAGGTTACAAGAAGCGTTAAGCAGGTAACACCAGATACAATGGCAGCTAGCTGACAATAGGACACCATGGCAAGGAACTGTGGACACATGGTGCTTTTACAGTGCTAAAGCTAAGCTTGAACAACACCTGCTTTGGAGAATGCCAGAGGATCGCTTATGTTTTTATGCCACCTTTCCTCCAAGGAACATAAGCACATATGATTCAAATATAATTGGCAGAGTCCCTTTTGAGTCAATTTGGTATAGTGGTTAAGAGCAGCGGACTCTAATCTGGCGAACTGGGTTTCCCACTCCTGCACATGAAGCCAGCTGGGCAACCTTGGGTCAGTCATGGTTCTCTGAGAACTCTCTCAGCCCCACCTACCTCACAGGGTGTCTGTTGTGGAGAGAGGAAGGGAAGGCGATTATAAGCTGCTCCTAGAATACTTTGGGTAGTAAAGAGCAGGGTATAAAAACAAACTCTTCTTTCTCCCACCTCTGTATCTCTTTCCATTCTCCGGGTAGGATTACCAGATGTCCTCGTTTTAGAGGACATGCCTTCTTTTTTTGGTGTTTGTCCTCTTTTGATCTCTTTTTAAAAAACGAATAAAAATGTCCACTTTTTGAGTTGGAAGGTTAGGAATATTCCTAGTTAGTAGCAAGTAAAGGTAAAGGTTTCCCTTGCTCAAAAGCCAGTTGAATCTGAAGAGCCAGCACTGTCCAAAGACGTTTCCATGGTCATGTGGCTGGCATGACTAGAGGCACACAGAATGCTGTTACCTCCCCACCGAAGCAGTACCTATTTATCCACTTGCAATTTCTTGCTTTTGAACTGCTAGGTTGGCAGGAGCTGGGGTCAGAGACGGGAGCTCATTCCGTCATGCAGCACTCAAGTCTCAAACTGCTGAACTACCGACCTTCCAGTCTGCAGTTCAGCGTCTTAACCACTTGAGCCACCGCAGCCCTAGAGTAGCAAGTATCACAGCTTAAATAGTAGGTGGATTTAAAATGAGATTTGTTGTACTGATTGGTTGTTTAAAGTAGCCGGTCGTTAAGTATGTCCTCTTTGTCACTTTTCAAAATATAGTTACCCTAAGGCTAGGACCACTTTCATTAGGCTGCTGTAAAGATAAAATGGGTAAGCCCTGTGGCATAGATGGGGGGGGGGAACAGAGTGAACTGGCCCAAGTACCCACTGGGTTCCATAGAAAAGGGGGGAATTTGAACCTCGGTCTTCATCTGAAGTCTTCCATTCTGTCCACTACACTACATTAGCCCTAACAGGTCATACCGTCAATCTTCTGTTCAGGTTGAGGTGAACTCCTCTGTTTCATGTGTTGCATTTAAATCTTCCTTTTCCTTTGGGCAACTTGGAATAGACTCTATGAGCATGTGACTAGAAATGTTGAGGTTCAAATTCCTCCACTCAGTCATGAACCTCACTGGATGTCTGTGGGAAACTACACCTTACAGGGTTGTTTTATTTATTATTTATTTAATTCATTTACACCCCTCCTTTCTCTTCAATAGGTACTCAAACCAGCTTACATCATTCTCCTCTACCTCACTTTATCTTCTCAACAACCCTGTGAGTTAGGTTAAGCTGAGAGAGTGACTGGCCCAAGGTCACCCAGTGAACTTTCATAGAATGAATGGGGATTCGAACCCGGGACTCCCAGATACTAATATGATGCTCTTAACCACTAGAACACTTGTTTCAGAATACTTTTATGACATCCCTTTGATGTAAGCAGGATTGCCACAAAACAAGTGGCTGGTGGTGGGTGCACCATGGTTCTAGTCATCATGCAGTCATGGATCAGGTCGAGCAAATCCCAAATTCAGTAAGATGGCAAACTGTTACAGACTGGAGGCAAGCTTCTCTCCATAGATAAATTCAGCACCAGCCCAGAATCTTGTCACAGACTTATGCTAGAACAATGATTGCATAGAAGGAATTCCCACATCTTGGTCCAGTCCCAGGCTGATTCAAAGAATGTAAAATTATTCTATGATAGACCACTGTATAAATATGCAGTAAAAAAGTGGCTGGCAGACTGAAGCCAAGAAAAAAATTCAATTCATTAACAGGAATCATTTGTAATTAACATCCATTAACAATCACCTCACGTGAAGGATTCCCTTAATAATTCCCAGACTTTTGGCTTTCTGCTTACTACGTAAAACAGAACAGTTCAGGAGGGCATTTTTATAAAGGAACAGGGATACATTGCAACAGAATGATACAGGAAGACATTTTGATAGAGAGATCAGGAATGGGGACTATACTATTAATAAGTATTATCTGTTGCTGTATGTTTTCATCTTACTCTCACTGCATTATATTTCTATTTCTGTAATACCGCTTTTTGCACTGTTTAACATGCCATCTTTAATACTTATTTTGCCTTGTTTCAGATTTCTGCAATCCTGAAATTTAAAGCACTTTATTATTATTAATAGTATGTTGGTTGTGATTTGTGATTTTATCGGATTTTATAAATTTTATGTATGGGCTTATGCCTTTGTAAGCCGCCCTGAGCCCGCTCGCGGGGTAGGGCGGGGTAGAAATACCTGAATAAATAAATAAATAAATAAATAAATACATAAATACTGACCAATATTATGTAATCCATCTTGGGTCTCAGTGAGAAAAGTGGACTATAAATAACAAATAATTATAAAGCCATTGTATTTTCTGTTTCTCTAAACTAAGAATTTAGTTTTAACATCTATCCCTTTGCACCTCCCATCCCCACTTTAACTGCTTCTCTATTTTTCAGAATAATTTCTGTGCTGTGTAAGGACAGCAAACCTGATTTCAGCATACAGTCAGGATAATTTAAATTCAAATTGGAGATAAGCCATAAACATATCATCTCATTAAGCTGCTTTACACAGAGTTAGGCCACTGGTTTCAGTATTACAATCTCACTGGCAGAAGTTTCAGGCAGAGAAGTATCTTTAACAGCTGCTAACTGTGGCCCCTTTGCTAGAGACGCCTGGAACTGAACCTGGGACCCTGTGTACACCAAGTAGGTGCTCTGTCATTATGGCACTGCAGAGAAGAGGCAATAGTTAATATGGATACCCAACTGTTTTCTTGTCACAACTCTAGTATAGAAATCCTTAGTGATTCAGAGATGACTGCAAGTGAAAATATTCTCATTTTACACAGGAAAAACATTCACTGAAATTAAACAGACAGCAAGCCGAATTAAAAAGAGGCAGTTTTAGTCTCATCTACAACAGATTCTGACCTCTGAATTGTTTCTTTAAGGACACATTAAACTCAGTTGATGAGGCCAGCCTCTTTTACAGTCATTACCTATTGAGCCATGTGGAATAAATATATATTTAATATATTTAACACACATACACACAGAGACAGAGGATTTACCCCAAAGGAAGATCATGCCAAATATAAGAAAAGCCCCATATAAATAAAGGTTACCTGAAAAAGGTTTTTTTATAACTGTATATCCCAATACCCTAGCCTAGCCTGATCTAGTCAGAGCTTGGAAACTAAGCAGGATTGTCCACAGTTAGTTCTTGGATGGGAAACCAACAATGAAGTCCAGGGTTGCTATGCAGAGGAAGGCAATGGCAAGCCACCTCTGTTCATCTCTTGCCTTGAAAATCCCATGGCTGTGGGTTGCCATGAGTGCTGCAATTTGATAGGACACAATTATTATTGCCCTGACCTGGATGGTGCAGGTTAGCCCAGTCTCATCAGATCTTGGAAGCTAAGCAGGATCAGCCCTGGTTAGTACTTGGATGGAAGACCACCAAGGAGGTCAAAGGTTGCTACACACAAAGCCAGGCAACAGAAAACCACCTCTGTTTCTCTCTTGCCTTGAAAACCCTACAAGTTCACCATAAGTCAGCTGTAACTTGATAGCACTTTCCACTACCTTTAACTTTTAGTAAAATTTAAGACACCCTCTTCTTTTTCTTGATGCCACTGGGTCAAAAGGATATGCATTTTTAAAAAAAGCAGAACACACAACCCGGAACCGTGCAACACTTTACCACCTGAAAAATTGCACATACCAGGGAAGCAGTGTTTTGAAATAGCTGCTAAAAAGCACAGGAACATTATGCATCTACCTCACTTTGGCAAAGAACAAGGTTTGTACTTGTGGCTGCAAATGGAGAACCGAGTTTGGCAGAGAGCTTAACATACCGTAAGGAATCTTAAAGCTCTAAGCTAACCTGAAAAAAATGTATAAAATCCTGCTAAGACAGCTCAGGCAGCAGAAGTTTAGTCACTCTTTTTTCTCTTCCCCCAGCATCCTGATTCATTTAAATTCTTTGAGTCGAAATGACGCATGTGGCAAGCAGCCAGCCAACGAATAAGGGGGAAATCTAAGTATCTACAACAGGTTAAGCCGTAAAAGCATTCCTTTTCTTTGCTGCCTCAACCTCCAGCAAGAGGATAATTGCAGATTTTTCTCTTTTTTAAGGAGATAATCCACAAATATGCTTTATCAGCACCATCAGAACTATTAAGGACAGCCTTTTAAGCCCACTGTCTAAATAAACTTAACCACCACTATGAGGGGTCAAGC